GACGCATATTTTTTTTCGAAGGCGTGGGTAACGTAATGATATTGACTATTGATGGTGGATTGAAATGCCTTTGAAATCGTCCAATCATATCATTTTATATTTAACCAATCAGCGCTTGATATTATAACCAATCATGGCTTAAAAATCATCAACCAATCATTAGGAATTAGAAAGAGTATAAATACAGACACCCATGAAGTATTTGGTTACTTGGTCGTTACTCATCGTGCGAGTAACACCTCCCGGGCTAGGTTCTTGGGCTGTGTCGGGAAACAACAGAATTGTTAGTTAAACCACTCAGCTCAGGAACCTAGTTCCTTAATAGTGTGTCTCAGTGACTATAGTGTCTTGGTGACTTAGAATAGTGTCTTGGTGACTTTTAATAAAAGGTGTCTCAGTGACTTTAGGGTGTGTTTTTTAGGTAGTTGCAGACTGTGTCGGGAAACAACAGGATTGTTGGTTAAACCACTCAGTCTGCAACTACAGTGTTATAACTTCTTTATTTGATTATTTGCTTGATCGTTAGTGATATAATTGTGGTTGATTCGTTTCTTATAATTCGGTGTCGTTAAGTTCATATTTGTTTGCTAATCAATTATCCAGATAGGACCGAGGAAAACGTATATATACATAGTGAATTTAAGTCAGTTTCTTGTTTTAGTGCCATTGTTGTTGAGGTTTGTTTAATTCGATATAAACGTGATTCTTAGGAAGGAATCCTAAGCGGACCCAATTATAATATAAATCATTTGTACTTTGTAAAAACGTTACAACACCTTTGCTTCTGTGCTTTTGCAAACCCAGTTTATCTCCTCCTCAGATGTTATAGTCCAGTCATTTTAGCCCAAAAATCGCTAAACTTGCAACTAATTGCAAAAGAATTGTTTTCAATGATTTTGACTTCACTAATATGTGTACTACAACATTAAAAAAATCTAATGTTCTACATGAAGTGGAAAAAACATTTTTTTTGGGCCAAAATCAAGAAAAAGATCGAAAAAACGACAAAAACTGGAGATTTAGCTTTTCTTCATTATTAATCAAATAAGAATACAATTTTTAGTTTGGCAATTTTAAATTTTAGTAAGAAATAATGAATTAAAATTCTCATATAATAATTTGACTTTTTAAGAATATTTTTGAGGAGGAATGTTCTAATTTTAGTGTAAAAAACAATGAAAACTGGAAATATTTGTAGTTTTGATTAATAAGATTGAAATATACAAATATATATACATGTATAAGAAATATATTCTATTACAATGAGGTTTTGTACTGTTTATCAATTTAGAAATACTAGAAACCAAGGGAAGGGGGCACATGAAGGGGGGATGGGGGTGCCCCTAGCTTTTCCCAGTATTTTCCCGCAAAAGAATTCCAAGAAAAAAAACATGACGCTTCAGTCTCAATGGCATTGAAAATAAATCATATCATTAATCTTATTCATTTCATTATCTTTAATTTTTTTTCTGAGAAGAAACCTCCCCTAATGAAATACTATTTATTCGATACCCTAAATGTTGACCATAACGGTGACTGACCACCAGGTTATATATACACTTACATGTATGTTACTGTTTTAGCATTGATAATTTTCATGAGAATTGTCAGTTTAAATAATATTCTGTTAAACAAAATGTCAAATGAATGCAAAAATTCTATTCCCATCAATTTCCAGTTATGAACAAGATGAATTGATGTATACTGTTTAACGTCCCTCTCTAGAATATTTCACTGATATGGAGACGTCACCTTTGCCGGTGAAGGGCTGAAAATTTAGGCCTATGCTCGGCACTCAGGGCCTTTGAGCAGAGAGGGATCTTTATCGTGTAAATTATCTGTGACACGGGACCTCGGTTTATACGGTCTCATCCGAAGGACCACCCCATTTAGTCGCCTTTTACGACAAGCAAGGGGGTACTGAGGACCTATTCTAGCCCGGATCCCCACGGGGCGTTATGAACAAGAAGTAGAATGTCTATTTTTTTCTTTATTAAATTAATTTGTGTCGTCTCCATCGTCTGTGCTCTTTGTTGAATTGGAGCAACTTGTTCCTCTACAATAGCCGCATCCAATTGTACATTGTAGGCCATGTTTCTGGCACGTGCATCTCTTTGTGTCACAATTTACCTTACAATTACAGTGAATGATACTTAGAAGACGATTGGGAGCAGGCGGCAAACTGTTTTTAAGTGTCATGCATTTGTCTTCATCAGTTACTGTCCAGCCCCAATAAAGTGGATTAGATCAATGCGATCGAGTTTTATCCACTGCTGACACTGATAGTATGACCTTCTTTAATGCAACTCTGCAGAATCAGATGTTGGTGGCAGACTCTATACCTGAACGCATTTATTGTTAGTTATAGCCTTGTTGGTATACAAACGAAGCCTCAGAAGATCCAGTCCTTCGTGTGGCACTCATCCATAAAGGCAGGCAATAATTTGTTCACCACTCGCTACGACAATTTCCAGACTATTGTCAGGCTTCAAAAATTTCTCCATTGCCATTTTAACAATTTGTTTTTGAAAGCCTCTTGAATGCGACACCTTTCCCTATCCCAAATAGCCGAGAAGTTGTATCACATCCCGTGATTGAGTAGACCTTTGGCAGAACTTTGCATTTGTGTGTACCCAGCATTCGCTTGGTTTTTTAATGTCCCAGCATCTGCACTTGTTAGAAAGTTCCGATTTGAAGTAGATGTGGTGCCCATCCAGAGATACATGGTAGCAGAGGAGAACAAGAAGATCGGTGTCCTCGCCAATGACAACGACATGTGTGGACCTAGCACAGACAACAGCTGTTGAAACAATGAGACAATCTGCATCCTCCTCTGCGAGGATGACCGTACATTCATCTTCCCGGAGTCTTTGGGCAAGAAGTCTTATAAAACGATACTTATTGTTGTTATTTGTGAGAAAGACTTCTTTCTTGGATTTGAAGGTCATATCAGAAGTGAATGTTACGTCAGGGGAGATGATGCCTTTTGAGCGTCGAAGATGGGTCAAAATCAATATTTTTTTATGATTGCATGTCTTGTGCAGCTAGTAAGATTCGAAAATTATTTGCGATATTGCTATACAGATGTAATGGTTGGACGCTGTTAGACTGACCCATTTCTTATCTTGTTGATTATATATAAGCAGATTTAAGTTTATTCCAAAGAAGCTATAATTAAGTAGCAACAATTCCTTCATTAACCCTCCTTGTGTCGAAGAACCTACACGTACTAAAGATCGATGATAAATAGCTGTCAATCATTCTGCATACGAACTATATTTAAATATTTTTGTGAAAAGTTTTTGGATAGTCGATGAGGGAAATATTTTATGATTAGGACGAATTCGAAAAAAAACTGTTTGCACAAACTCTAGCTGCAGAACAGAACCGTAGCTCTCCAAAAAAAAGTTGATAGACCGGAGAGCTACAGCTAGTGCCACCCATTGAAAAAATATATTTATTGCGCACAAAATTTTGCGCTTGAGTCTGGGTTAATTCTCCCAAATTCTAATCTCATATACAAATTACTAGATTCCAGAATATTCCTTACTTCTCAGAAACTACTTTCATAGTTAAGATCTACACGAAGCACCTATGACAGAATTGTCTTGCAAACCAAATTGGCAGTATAAATAGACGAACTTTTCGATGATCTCAATTTTAGGATCGGGGGGGGGGGGGGGGGCAGTGGTATTAACAACAATTATATGGAATGTTTGTTGTGGAAACAGTGAAAGGATATGTTAGGAACACACAGTTAGATATATTTTGAGATGACAGTTTTAAAAACATTGAGAAACATATCGAGAAACAGCTCACCTTCTTGTGAGGAATAATTATACAGTTTTCTTCAATGGGTGGCACTGTAGCTCTCCGGTCTGTCACTATAATTTTTTCGGAGAGCTACAGTTTTGCAGCTACACAAACTCAAGCGCGGATCGGGGTGAGGTGGGGTAGAATTTGAAGAGTTATGAAATTCATGAACTAAAGCATCTATAATTTGACCCAACCCCCTTGAAATTGAAAACGGGGATCTGTGTTAGGTAAGTCATCAATCATAACTCATAAATAAGCCGAGTTTGATCCCCCGACTCACAAATGACACATTTTTCTTGTCTTTCCATTTTCAAAAGAATATTAGAACAGGTGTAAATAAAATGAGAGGAAAATTTCAACTAGATATACCTACAGCGTCACATGATGATAATTAATGGCAATTTAACAAGAATGGGTGTCCATACACTGAGAAAGCCAAAATAAGCAGTGCGGTGTTTAAAAAGCATTTTCACTCCTTTACTTGTTAATTATTTCCCATAAAAATAATGTTTTAGGAATAAGCTCTTGATCAACTGTTATTTTCAATTACATTACGGCCCCTATAAGGAATATTTTAAATGAATCCCAAATGTGTGACGTTCAGATTACGACGACACGTGTTGAGACTTCTCGGCTGTACCTGTATTTTGTCAATTTTAAGAGTTTAACGTCTCGTTTGTTCTTATAAGTTTACAACAGGGTCACATTGATTAAAATGCTTACACACTTGTATCAATGTATATCATGAAACAAGGATAAATTAGCGTCATCTAAGCAATGTATATGCAATGCGATCGCTGAAATTACGTCATGCGATCACTGAAAGCACGCTATGACAGCACAGCGGTGACAGAAAACGAAGGGCGCACTCAACAAATTTCGTACACAAAAATATAATATTTCTGCACATAAGATAAAATTAGATTTTTTATATGTTGTTTTACATACCGGTACACTAAAGAGTAGTTTGCAAAAAAAAAAAAAAATTTCTTTTGCAATTAGTTACAGGTAAAATTTAAATTGACTGGACTATTACAGCATCGTCACTTTTAGTATTTATGCTCTAAAAGTAGATAAATGTAAAATTATTAGCATTAAATAATATTAATGAAAATTAAATTTACAACAATGATTGCCAAATCAATTGTTAAGTCATCACCTGTTTGTATTTTGTGCAGCGAATTTTACGCATGGGTTTCCTTGAAGAAGAGCACAAACTTGATTTTTTGGGGCCCTCCCTACAAATCATTAAAAGAATCTTTCAAACATATCAAATTTGATGCATAACACTACAAAATTCTTGAAGTCATCACAATTCATACCTTCCGATATATTTAATGTTGTTGCAACTATAAAAAAAATACACTTATGTATTATACGTATAATGCTCTCTCTGTACTTACAAATTGTTATCCTTGACAGATTCTTTTGAATTTGTGTGACCATACCTGAAATATAGCAGTAGATAAAGTTTTATAACTCTAACTCTGACAATAATAATTTAACTGCTACATTACTAATTTAAAGAATTCAATAAATGAATATAGAAAGTCATATATGTGAGAATTTTACAAAGTAGGAAAGTAGTCTCTCTAAAAAGTAAATTTGGCAAAAATACGTTAATTAAACAATTCAGATTTTATGTATAGGAAGTTGATTAAATAGATGTTGTATAATCACTGTATACTAACATATCAGAAAGAAATACAGTGCGCTACCTAGAATGCATCTTCCTAAGTCAAAGGTTTCTGATCCGCTCCACTCTTTATAAACCCTTGACCGAATAGACTAAGCTTGACGAGGTTAGAAATGCGCTCTCTGATTGGCCTCAGGCAAGTTTGCATGAACCATTCAGAATCATTGTTTTATTTAATCTGAAAGTAAATCATAAACAGAAAAAACACGCCAGTTATAGTCTTTAGGATAACATCTTTATCATATTCTTAAAAAGTCCAGCAAAGGGTTTGTCTCAGCTTTTTAGTTGAGTTATATTGAATTTATTACCGACTTCTAATACTATCTCGAATTCTTTGTTGAATTTTGTTTACTGTGATTGGCCAATAACAGAGGTCAGTAGAGTTCAAAATGTGTTATCCCACTAGATGGTGTGATAGTAAACCCCTTCAAACTCAGTCTCTTCGGTGAAGGGATTATGTGGATCAGAACGGAATAGAAACCCTTGACTTAGGAAGATGCCTAGAATGTTTGTATGCAGCTATTTTATCATGTATCCTAGCATGAACATTCCAACACATTAAGATTAAATGTTTTGAAAAATAATGTTGCTTATATATAATGTATATAATATATATAATATATGTTCTAAGCTACATGTAAATGTAAAAAAAATTCATGGCATTAAACTGTAAGATTTTTATGTACAACTAGTCTAAGGAATGCAAAATAAAAAAAATCTGAGAAACAGTTTACAGTTTGTACACATTATTTTCATTTCTTTTGGTTGGTTACAAAATCCAAACCATCACTTTAATGACATTTGTGCGATCAAAAAAACAAAACAAAATTAAGACATGTACAAATTGACTCATAGAAGAATTGTTCAAGGTACAAACGATACTTTTTTCCTCAGATTTCTTCATGATTGTGAGCATGTATACTTCCAGCAAGGAAAACTAATCGTATATATATGTATCTCATATACATTTTTTCTTTTTAAATTAATATATCTTCGAAAGTAAACAAGAAAACACATTTAACACTCCATCAATATTACTGCTAACTAATTTAAAGAAAATTATTTTAGTTAATTTAAAATATGTAAATAATTTAATGAGATTCATATTGATTCATCATCAACAACAAAATGCAAAAAATAATAATAATAATAAAAATAATAATAATGCAACATCATGCTCTTTTTAAAGGGATTTGCTACCTTCCCCTTATATCTGGATACAAAAAAGAACTTCTTTGTCTCTTCTGAAATAAATTAGTTTACACTTTTCATATTAAAAAAAATATATATATTCCTATTGAAGATCAGCATACCAAGAAAATGTATAGTACCTTACTTTTTTCTGCAATGCAAGTTAAGAATATAATACATTAATTGATATATCACCGACTTCAATACTAATACCTTTTGTGGATGGATTCTTAGGTCATACGAGGGGTTTATGGAAACCTTTGAAAACAAGAAAGTTATTTAAAAAAATTATTAGATTTCATTTACGGTCATATTTAAATTTTGTAGAGATGATTCACACTTCATATTGTCAGATTTTTATTAGAGAGCCAAAATAATACTTCCCATGCACTTGATTTTTGTTATGTTTTCATAAATTGGAATAATTATGTTCAGCACAATTCACTTTCTGATGAGTTTGTAATGGTAAAAGTACAAAGCTGCTCTTGATCTACATGTATTTGAGACTTTTTAATATTTACCCAATCAATTTTACACAGTCTGCATTCAAACTCATCAGAATCATTCAGAGTTTTCAGGTCCTCTTCTATGCAGAAGCTGAGAAAATGAAATGGTCTTCTGCATGTCTTGCATGTTACCTAAGCAAAGGAAACAAACAACTCTTACTATTAACTTTATTTACATTCGAGAACATCATGAACTATCTTTAACAATTCCATTATTTCACCAGGAAAATATGTATATAAAAAATCAAAATATGTATCGGCAGGATAGATCTAGCTTTTAACTTCGGTCACATATATTAATTGGAAGAATTTTCTTTTCATATCCAATTATCAAAGCAAAATAGATGTCAGTTTTAAAGAAGGATTTTCTGTAAGTTTGTTCAATGGTTGTAAACCGACTGGGGCAAACACAGTAATATGTGGGAATGTACGGGGACTACATGTATCAATGAATAATCTCAAATAAGCCTATATAATTTGCTACAATGTAACTTGTTAAGAACTTTCAGTTTAAAGTTTATGTTGCATGTCTGGTGACTAAAATAAGCTACTTTCTTACATAAATAAAACAGGCAAATAAATTAAATAATTAACAGACAATTGAAGTACCAGTAATAAATAAAATGCTGTAATCCTCAACTTATTGGATACTTACAAACTCATCATTTCCAATTTGACCACCACACTTTAGACAACACTCAGTCAAGTACACTTTTGAAAGACATAAAAGGTAAAAAGCAATAGCTTTAATGGTCATAGTGCCCAAAAGCCACCAACAAATATTGTCTGACCATTATCATTAGAATTACATGTATTAACCAATTCATTATTAACAATGCTGTTTTTCTAGGATTTATAATTATTCTTTGATAAACCGTATTAGTGTGATAAGACATTTAATTTAATAATTACTAATAGGTAAATAAGTGATATTCATGTATTTTTAAAAATAGTTTTTACCTTCATACAGCATAATGTGCTCTGCAACTGATCTTCTCATTTCTTGCAGTTCATTATCAGTGATGGATTGTAAGTCACTTAGCTTGTTAGTCAAATGCTTCTCGGCGAACTGAAGGAGAAATTAAAAGGTATTGCAAAATTACATAAATATATTATTTTTACATGTTAATTGTTCCTTGGATTTTTTTGCAGATACATATTTCTATCCACTTCAAAGCAAATCAAACTTTTATCGACAAAGGTTAATTATGTTCCCCAAACGAAGTTGGGGAACATATTGTTTTTACTCTGTTTCTTACTATTATTATTATTTTTCTTCTTCTTCCTGGGTACTTTTTGTCCGGGAGTGATCTTGTAAACTATACATCCGACTTAGGTAAAACCTTTTTAGGGTCAGTAGGCATGTTATGTAGATTTGTGGAACGAAGGTCATTTTGAGCGCACGTGCTTGCAAGAGCGTGCACGTGCAATGCATGAAATGACCAATATAATAGATATAGCCGTAGCTTTTCTATTTTTGGATGAAATGCTTTGAAACTCATATTGTGATGATATATTAGTAGCATAAACAATATGTCATAGTCAAAATAGCAAGATCTCACGCGCATGCACGTGCGCTTTGCTCTGATTGGCTGAAACTAAAGTCTCAATATCTTTCTTGTTTTTTGACAAAATCCTTTGAAATTTTGAACATAGCCATGCATTAGGATATCCCAGAACTTGATATATAGCAATTATCATGAAAACACGTGCATGCACGTGCGCTGCATTCTGATTGGCTTAAACTTTGAATCGCTAAATATCCCTTGGTTTTCAACCAAACAGGATGGGATTTGGAACATAGATAGATATAATATACTTCTACAAGAAAGAATGATCACCATGCATATGTATACACGTGCGTGTACGTGCGCTGCAATCTGATTGGCTGAAACTTTAAACAGCTATAACTCCCTTGGTTTTTAACCAAACGGGTCGGGATTTAGAACATAGATAGATGTAATGGACTTCTACAAGAAGGTATGGTCACCATGCTCGTGTATGCACGTGCGTGCACGTGAAATGAGTAAAATAAAAAAATACACTTAAATTAGAGAATTTTTTAATAATTTTGGATTAAATACTCTAATATTTTATGTATCAAAATATATAGATTGTGTAGACAAGATGATATGGTCATTACGCACATGCATTCACATGCTCACGCGTGGAACGTTAAAACTTGAATGAACCTGGTACACTTCTGGGTAAACACTGTTAAAATCTCAAATGCATAGAGTTTGTCTTATTTAATGAAGCTAACAGGGAATATGGCACCAAAAGGGAGTTAGGGAGCGTTTGGGGAACATCTGTAACGGTCCCCGTTACAATTAGCACTAGTTATTTATATACTAGTATATGACTTGTTTTTATGAAATATTTAAAATGTTTTATACTGGTAACACTGACTATTAAACAGTAGATTCCGCAATTGAAGGAGTCTCTCTGTCTAGTGTGAGCTATGTTTGTAACACTCCAGTTCCTTAATGGAAATTGTACACCACAAGCAACTTCAACATCTTCTATGTATTTCCTGTACAGAAATTATATATAGAGAGCAATTAAAAACTAACAACTCCAAGCATAAACATGCAGTTGCCTTATTGAAAATAATCTAACATCCATCTCCTTTCTATCTTCTTCATTTCAGTTGGTCTTTCGCCACAAGGGTTGTAAAAAAAGATTTTTCCTTCTTTCATTTCCACAACCTGTTTAAATTCATATTTAGATATGATTGCAATTTCTGTGCATGTACATTGTACTTGTGAAGTTGTGCAATTATGAACATGTCATGAACCAACTTTTTACAAGCATTATGTAATTTGTTAACTATAGAGTGAGGAATAAGGAACTTCTATTTAATTTATAATCTACAATGATCATTAAGGTTAGCTTACAAAAAAGTATAATGTTCCCTTCTTCAAAATATACTTACTACTAATGTCCAGTGACCAGATCTGTAGTAAGTCCCAACTACAATATCAGCATCTAGTTTTTCTATCTACAGATGGATACATGTAACACCATGCAATTCTTTTTTATAATTAACCTTTTCTAAGGATCTCCCAAATATTATTTCTAACCCCATAAGGAAAATTGTAATAATTTTATAGCAAATTATAAAATAAAAAGAATAAATTTAAAGGAAATCAATATTGCTTTCTGCACAAAATAATTATGTTTTTTTCTTCAAATTAGCATCCCTTTATAACAATGTAAATGTACCTTCTTTTCTTTAGAAGAATGGGGCCTCATTGAAAATGTACCATCAATAATGCTGGTCATCTTTAGAAAATCATAGTGCAAAACCTTCTTACCAATATCATTCTGGGCTACAGCCAGCAAATATAGGTAACTATCCATTATCTAAAATATGAAAAAAAATGTCCATATGACAATTACAGATTTTAAATTTTTTAAGGTGATGATTGTTTTCTCATATTTTACATGATATTCACATAGCATTCTCTAATGAAAAACGTCTTACTAAAGTGGGACCGTTCACGGTAGCTCAGTCGGTAGAGCGCTCGCTCCGTGATCGAGAGGTCGTGAGTTCGTATCTCGGCCGCGACTGACCTAGTCGTTAAAATTGGTAGCAACTGTTCCTTCGCCATGCGCTCGGCACTATGAAGTGAAAGTTGCGGGTCCTTCGGATGAGACCTTAAAAACCGAGGCCCCGTGTCAGCGGCAGGCGTTGGCACGATAAAGATCCCTCACTGCTCAATGGCCCTGAGTGCCGAGTAAAGGTCAAAATTTGAAGCCCTTCACCGGCATACGGTGACGTCTCCATATGAGTGAAAAATTCTCGAGAGGGACGTTAAACAATATACAATCAATACAATCTTACTAAAGTGGAAAGCTTTTGGTTATCAAAATATGTATCCCCTTTCATGATATTCTATGACGTATCTGGTTCAATGTTACATAGTAACTTGACAATATTTTGACACTCCAAGGACTGAAAAATATGTAAATTATAATGGTGAACATTTCAAAGCATCCTAAGCAAACAGGCATTCCAACTGAGACATGATATGTTGCCTTTTTCCAGAAATGCAATTTGTAGCCCATTATAAATAAATATTCGGAATATCAGCACACACACATATTGTTTAATGACCTATCCTTTTCTGATAAATATTCTTGTTGAAAGGTAAGAAATATTTAATGCATTATGATAATTTGATAAAAGCATAGAGTGACAATGACATAATTTTGTCTTTGACACTTCACAGAGACTTCTCTACCATACTGTGACAAGGGTTGAACTAAGCATGAAGTTTTTTTATGTATGAAAAAAGACAAACATTAAACAATATGCCATCTCATCTAATTTCCCAAGATAATACTTGTCAATTAGGTATTAAAAAGAAATAAAAATGAAAACTCAGTAATACTGGGATAAACACACCTTTGCTTCTGTGCTTTTGCAAACCCAGTTTATATCCTCCTCAGATGTTACAGCATCGTCACTTTTAGTATTTATGCTCTAAAAGTAGATAAATGTAAAATTATTAGCATTAAATAATATTAATGAAAATTAAATTTACAACAATGATTGCCAAATCAATTGTTAAGTCATCACCTGTTTGTATTTTGTGCAGCGAATTTTACGCATGGGTTTCCTTGAAGAAGAGCACAAACTTGATTTTTTGGGGCCCTCCCTACAAATCATTAAAAGAATCTTTCAAACATATCAAATTTGATGCATAACACTACAAAATTCTTGAAGTCATCACAATTCATATCTTCCGATATATTTAATGTTGTTGCAACTATAAAAAAAAATACACTTATGTATTATACGTACTCTCTAAGTTACAAAAATGCTCTCTCTGTACTTACAAATTGTTATCCTTGACAGATTCTTTTGAATTTGTGTGACCATACCTGAAATATAGCAGTAGATAAAGTTTTATAACTCTAACTCTGACAATAATAATTTAACTGCTACATTACTAATTTAACGAATTCAATAAATGAATATAGAAAGTCATATATGTGAGAATTTTACAAAGTAGGAAAGTAGTCTCTCTAAAAAGTAAATTTGGCAAAAATACGTTAATTAAACCATGGGTACAAATTGCGCTCCGTTACTAGCAGACTTATTTTTATATTCATATGAAGCAGAATTTATGCAAAATCTTTTGCGTGAAAAGAAAAAAACACTTGCTGTGGCCTTCAACTCGACATTTAGATATATCGACGACGTATTGTCAATTAATAATGATAATTTCCATTCCTACGTCGACACGATATATCCTGGTGAGCTTGAGATAAAAGATACCACAGAGTCCAACACATCTGCTTCATACTTGGATATTTTACTTGAAAAAGACACAAATGGTAATCTAACAACCAAGCTATATGATAAACGTGATGACTTTAACTTTTCTATCGTCAACTTCCCTTACTTATGCAGCAATATACCTTCATCACCTGCATACGGAGTATATATATCTCAGTTGATTCGATACGCAAGAGCATGCTCTACGTCTGAACAATTTCTTAAACGAGGTAAATTATTGACAAGCAAGTTGATGAAACAAGAATATCAACAGTCTCGTTTAAAGTCATCATTTCGTAAATTCTATGGTCGATACAATGACCTTGTCAGCAAATACAATTTATCATTGAATGAAATGCTGACTGACGTTTTTCATACCAATTGTTAGTCCATTATTTATACACTGAATTGACTACGGATTTTTTCCGTTATTTCCTGATTATGACAATGAGCACACGGCGGGTGTGACCGGTCAGCAGGGGATGGGATGCTCACTCCTCCATGGCACCTGATCCCACCTCTGATGTTTCGGAGGTCCGTGTTTGCTCTGCTCTTGTTTTGTATGTTTGTTTAATGGACGTTGAGATTGAATACTGTTCGTTCTTTCCATATCCTTACAATTCAGATTTTATGTAAAGGAAGTTGATTAAATAGATGTTGTATAATCACTGTATACTAACATATCAGAAAGAAATACAGTGCGCTACCTAGAATGGATTTTCCTAAGTCAAAGGTTTCTGATCCACTCCACTCTTTATAAACCCTTGACCGAATAGACTAAGTTTGACGGGGTTAGAAATGCGCCCTCTGATTGGCCTCATGCAAGTTTGCATGAACCATTCAGAATCATTGTTTTATTTAATCTGAAAGTAAATCATAAACAGAAAAAACACGCCAGTTATAGTCTTTAGGATAACATCTTTATCATATTCTTAAATAGTCCAGCAAAGGGTTTGTCTCAGCTTTTTAGTTGAGTTATATTGAATTTATTACCGACTTGTAATACTATCTCGAATTCTCTGTTGAATTTTGTTTACTGTGATTGGCCAATAACAGAGGTCAGTAGAGTTCAAAATGTGTTATCCCACTAGATGGTGTGATAGTAAACCCCTTCAAACTCAGTCTTTTCGGTCAAGGGATTATGTGGATCAGAACGGAATACAAACCCTTGACTTGGGAAGATGCCTAGAATGTTTGTATGCAGTTATTTTATCATGTATCCTAGCATGAACATTCCAACACATTAAGATTAAATGTTTTGAAAAATAATGTTGCTTATATATAATATATATAATATATGTTCTAAGCTACATGTAAATGTAAAAAAAAAATCATGGCATTAAACTGTAAAATTTTTATGTACAACTAGTCTAAGGAATGCAAAATAAAAAAATCTGAGAAACAGTTTACAGTTTGTACACATTATTTTCATTTCTTTTGGTTGGTTACAAAATCCAAATCATCACTTTAATGACATCTGTGCGATCAAAAAAAAAAACAAAATTAAGACATGTACAAATTGACTCATAGAAGAATTGTTCAAGGTACAAACGATTCTTTTTTCCTCAGATTTCCTCATGATTGTGAGCATGTATACTTCCAGCAAGGAAAACTAATCGTATATATATGTATCTCATATACATTTTTTTCTTTTTAAATTAATATATCTTCGAAAGTAAACAAGAAAACACATTTAACACTCCATCAATATTACTGCTAACTAATTTAAAGAAAATTATTTTAGTTTATTTAAAATATGTAAATAATTTAATGAGATTCATATTGATTCATCATCAACAACAACAAAATGCAAAAAAAAAAAAAAAAAAAATTATAATAATAATGCAACATCATGCTCTTTTTAAAGGGATTTGCTACCTTCCCCTTATATCTGGATACAAAAAAGAACTTCTTTGTCTCTTCTGAAATAAATTAGTTTACACTTTTCATATTAAAAAAAATATATATTCCTATCGAAGATCAGCATACCAAGAAAATGTATAGTACCTTACTTTTTTCTGCAATGCAAGTTAAGAATATAATACATTAATTGATATATCACCGACTTCAATACTAATACCTTTTGTGGATGGATTCTTAGGTCATACGAGGGGTTTATGGAAACCTTTGAAAACAAGAAAGTTATTTTAAAAATTTATAAGATTTCATTTACGGTCATAATAAAATTTTGTAGAGATGATTCACACTTCATATTGTCAGATTTTTATTAGAGAGCCAAAATAATACTTCCCATGCACTTGATTTTTGTTATGTTTTCATAAATTGGAATAATTATGTTCAGCACAATTCACTTTCTGATGAGTTTGTAATGGTAAAAGTACAAAGCTGCTCTTGATCTACATGTATTTGAGACTTTTTAATATTTACCCAATCAATTTTACACAGTCTGCA